AAGGAAAATTGTTCCATTTATTCGCTTTCGTCTCTGCTTTTGTTTCATATCGATCAAAGCATTGCTACGTTCGTGCGCATGTAGGCAGCGCTGCAGCGGAAGATCTGCAAAGATAATGTTCCCTTCGTCTCTGTACATACACAAAATTGTTGCATATACATACATTCATTCATACACATTTGTTAAGGCACAAGTGCCAAACTATCAACAACAATATTGCTTCGTTCGTGTTCATATACGCAGCGCTACAGCGGGACATAGAATGAAAAATTGTTCCATTTATTCGCTTTCGTCTCTGTTTTTGTTTCATGTCGGGCAAAGCATTGCTATGTTCATATGCATGTAGGCAGCGATACAGCCGAAGATCTGAAAAAAAGATGATGCATTTGGCTTTGTACATACACCCATATGTGCATCTTTCATGGTTTCTTTTAACGTTTTTTTTTTTTCTAACGAGAAATATGGATCTATATTACAAACATATACATGTCTTTCTCCCTTTTCTATAAGTTTTGATTGAAAGGTAGTAAAGAAATTCCAACGATAGGAATAACAGTGGCTCTAAAACTGCAAATGGGCACAAACATACATAAGTACTTTACGTTACAGTTATTTGCGAGCTCTGGTATGTATGTATGTACATATGTGTCAAGGCAAAAATGCGAAAACTATCGGCAACAATATTTGTTTTGTTCTGTTCGTGCTATTTGCAACAAGCAATTTTAGAAATTTTAATTTTCTAAACCATAAAAGATACAATAAACGTTTATAAAATGTCAGGTGAAAGGTGTATAAGGCGAAAGCGAAGTTTAGCAAGTCGAAGAGAAGAGGTGACTTTTATTTAAAAAAAGGGAACTTTAGGGCTAATGTATTTGTGTACATACATCTATGTTTGTATGTATGTATATATATTCACGTTCTGATGCAGAGCCGCAGGCACGTATCTTCTATGGCAAGTTCTTTCAAAGCAGCCTTAAACCCTGTAGTTCTTCCGGAATATAGTTCACTTGGGGGCTTAACAAGTACATGCTTGCAGTGCAAAGCAAACCATTTCAGCATTGAAAAGGAAAGTCTATACCTTTTATTGTTTCATAACTTATAGTCTTAACACGTATTTGAAATTGCTACATTTAGGTAAGAAATGGCTTTACGACATGTTGTCACGCTGGAAAAGTCAAATTTCCAGCATTACGTGTACCTGAGTTTTTAAAATCTGTGTTTGAAAACGATTTGAGCTCTTGGCGCCGACATTACTTGGAGCACATACGGCAACTAAACAGTTCGTTTGCTTTTGCATCATTCGAAGCGAAAATTGCAGAGCCAACAGGACGTGGACCATATTGCTTCCGAATACATGGATCCATATATCATAGGGTGGGTCCATTGCATGCAGATAATCCCGCCGAATCATCCTACGCTCAGCTGTATATTCTTGACACGGATCAAGCAATTGATATTAGGGCGCAACACAACTCAAGTTGCGACAAGTCTTTACTGAAAGAAATTCATGAAATGCTTTCGAACATTAACCCCTTGGCCCGTGAGTATAAGCATATGGCGCAGGTAGGACGTGAAGAAGAGCAGAGAGCAAGAGAAGAAAATCGAGGACGGCATCAGGTTAGCATGCTACTTTTTAACAGCGTTAGTGACCGACGTTATAACTTGCCAAACTGCTCCGAAATTGCGGCGTTTTTTACAACGGAAGATGGTGAGCCACCTGCAACTTATCATTTGTGTCAACGCTACACAGATTATGTGATCCTTTAGTTTATCCCCTTTTGTTTCCATATGGCGAGCCTGGATATGATGAAACTCTCCTGCATGAACAAGGTCAACGAACGGAGCATTGATTTAAATTAACACAACTGCAGTTTGTTTCTTATCGCATGGCGATTAGAGAAGGTTTTAGTTTGCTTCGAGTCTCAGGTAAACTTTGGCAACAGTATTTGGTTGACCAATACGTCAGAATTGAAGGAGCACGTCTGGCCTTTCTGTGCACCCATCAGAAAGAACTACGTGTTGAAACATATGCTGGTTTGCATGATTATTTAATACGTAGATCCAATATTGAAAATGTGCGTCCTGGCCGTATAGTTGTTCTGCCTTCAAGTTTTGTTGGCTCCCCTCGCAACATGAACATGAATTACCAAGATGCCATGGCTATTGTGAGAAAACATGGAAAACCGTCTCTTTTCATAACGTTCACATGTAATCCCAAATGGCCAGAAGTCGTTCAAAATATAGAAAGATACCAAGGATCGGAAATGCGTCCAGAGCTGATAGCCCGTGTTTTTAAACAGAAACTCAAAGAGCTTATGAAAGATATTTCACAAAAGCATGTGTTTGGGAAAGTAAAATACTACCTATATATCATTGAATTTCAGAAGAGGGGTTTACCTCATGCCCACATATTGGTAGCCCTTCATGAGGAGGATGTTATTCGTGAGCCTTCTAAAATTGACCTGGTTGTTTGCGCTGAGATTCCTAATAAGGAGACAGAGCTTGAGTTGTATGAAATTGTGTCGAAATGTATGATTCATGGCCCGTGCGGCATATTTAATCCATCATCGACCTGCATGACTGCTGATACTGGAATTTGCTCAAAAAGTATCCCAAATCTTTTAAAATTAATACGCTTTCAAATGTAAACGGCTATCCCCAATATCGTCGCCGCAATGATGGAAATAAAATAGTTGTTCGTGTCATTCAAAATTCAGTTGAATTAGACAACCGATGGGTAGTCCCCTACAACAAATATCTGACCAAAAATACAATGCTCATATTAATGTAGAAATATGTTCATCTATAAAGAGCGTAAAATATCTTCACAAATATATTTACAAAGGCTATGATTGCGCAACCGTTCAAATTATCGAACAACCAATTGATCGTGCGGTTTTTTATGATGAAATATCTACATTTGTAGATGCTCGATATGTTAGCGCTCCTGAAGCCTGCTGGAGGCTTTTAGAGTTTCCCATGCAAGAAAAATCACACACGGTGAAAACACTTGCAGTTCACTTGCCAGAGGCACAAAATATTTATTTTCGTGAAAATAACGCTGAAATAGATGATACCCTTTCTCGATGTCGCGATACCACCTTAACCGCATATTTCAAATTAAATACTGTGGATTCTTTTGCTAATACTTTGTTGTATTATGAAATTCCTGAATACTATACTTGGCAAGAAGCGTCGCGCTCATGGCAAAGGAGGAAACGCCAGGGCAATGCAATTGGCAGGATTTATACGGTCGATCCAAAAAATCGTCAACTTTTTGCTTTACGTTTATTGTTAACTTCGCTAAAAGGACCAAAGTCCTTTACAGATTTATTGACTCTGAACGGGGAACACCTGTCCTCTTATTAGGAATCAGCAGTAAGGAGAAAGTTGTTGGCGGACGATACGGAATGGATAGCTGTACTTGAAGAAGCCTCTGCCTTTAAAATACCTTAGCAACTTAGACGTATGTTTGCAATGATTTGGGTATTTGGGGAACCAACTTCACCAATTGAGCTCTGGAGAAAATTTAAACTCCATCTTTGTGAAGACTTTCTAAGGGATAATTCGGAAGACAACAGCGAGCTTTTGGCATTGAGAAATATAAGCCATGTCTTACAATCGCATAACACATCTTTGAAAGACTTCGGTTTACCTGCAGATGATCTTGCCACTGAAAACTTAGAGATAGAGAACTTTAACATACACGATGAAGTACTATGCGCCCAAGCACTCAAGGAACAGCTTAATCCCGAGCAAAAGTATATTTACTTTTTTGTATAAAAGTATAATCCACCATATTCGTAGCCTTGGGCAGAAGGTAATATCCGTAGCTTGGACAGGGATTGCTTCAATTTTACTTCCTGGTGGAAGAACGGCACATAACGTGTTCAAATTCCCAATACCCTTGACTGAATCTTCTGTTTCCCTTATTAAACCTGACAGCAATCTCGGAAAAGCAATCAAATCTTCCATGGCAATAATATGGGACGAAGCTAGCATGGTTCCTGGGATTGCTTTATTATGCTTAGATCGGTTATTGCGTGATATTCACCAAAATGAAACACCTTTCGGAGGAAAATTTGTTTTGTTAGGTGGTGACTTCAGGCAAGTTCTTCCTGCCTATAGCGCACGCGCCCCTATAATTGGAAATTGTTTGAAACGGTGTTCACTTTGGAAATGTTTTAAGTGTTTTAAACTCTCGACAAAGATGCGTTCTAAAGAGTCCGATTATTGCAATTTTCTTTTGCGTGTTGGAGAAGGTCGAGAACTCTCGTCAGACTCGAAAATAAAGTTACCAGAAGAGATTATTTTGCTAGATGGAAATTTAATCGATTGGGTATTTGAACCTCAATCAGGTGTAATTAATGAAAATCATTTGAAAGATCGGGCAATTTTGTGTCCAAAAAATTAGCACTGTACGATAATTAATACCGAAATGATTAATATGTTGCCCGGAGAAGAAAAGGTTTATTATAGCGTCGATACTATCGTTTCTGAAGATCCACTGGAGCAAGTCAGATTCCCTACAGAATTTTTAAATTCACTTATTTTCAGCGGGGTTGCACCTCATGAATTAAGGCTAAAAGTTGGAACAGTTGTAATGTTAATCCGTAATCTTTATACATATGAAGGGTTAGTTAATGGCACTCGCGTAATAGTTAAAGCACTACACTATAATTGTTTGGACGTCGAAATTTTAACAGGTGCATCACAAGGGAAACGAATTTTACTTCCCCGTATAAATTTACAGCCCAGCGAATCACCACTTCCTTTTGTTTTAAAACGTCGCCAATTCCCAATTTTTG